GCAGGTAGGTAATCGTGCCTTGCCCCTAAAGGCACTGGAAATCGCATACAATTCAACTAAACTAGCCCAACATCCAAAGAACCCACATAGGGTGCTCTGCAGGACCTGAAAATTAGATGGAAGGTCCACAACACTTCTTAGAGTCACCACACAAAGAAAAAACTCAATCCAATATGTGGCCGGCAGTTAATCGTGCCTTGCCCCCAATGGCGGCGGAAATCGCATAAGAATAGACTAAACTAGCTCATCTTCCAAACAACCATTCTAGAATGTTCCGCAGCAGCTGAAAATGGGGACACCGATCCACAGTACTCCTTAGAGTCACCACACAAAAAATCAGGTCGATCCAATAAACTCTGGCGGGGAATCATGCCTTGCCCCATAAGGCAACGGGAATCGCAGCAAAATCAGCTAAACTAGCTCATCTTCTGCTTCAACCAACCTAGGGTGATCCGCAGCAGCTGAAAATGGGGTGAAAGGTCTACAGTACTCCTTAGAGTCACCACACAAAGAATCAGATCGATCCAATAAACTCTAGCGCTGAATCATGCCTTGCCCCATAAGGCAGCGGAAATCGCGGCAAAATCAGCTAAACTAGCTCATCTTCCAAACAACCAACCTAGGGTGATCCGCAGGAGCTGAGAATGAGATGAGAGCTTCGTAGAACTAACTAGAGTCACCACACAAAGAATCAGCTCAATCCAATATGTGGCCGGCAGGTAATCGTGCCTTGCAACACAAGGCGGCGGAAATAGCATAAAAAACAACTCAACTAGCTCATCTTCCAAACAACCAACCTAGGCTCCTCTGCAGGAGCTGACAATGGGACCAGAGGTTCATAGAACCAACTAGAGTTAACACACAAATAATTAGCTCAATCCATTAAGTGGCGTGCAGGTAGTCATGCCTTGCCCCATAAGGCAGCGGAAATTTTAGCAAAATCAGCTAAACTAGCTCATCTTCCAAACAACCAACCTAGTGTGATCCACAGGAGCTGAGAATGGGATGAGAGCTTCATAAAACTAACTAGAGTCACCACACAAAGAATCAGCTCAATCCAATATGTGGCCGGCAGGTAATCGTGCCTTGCAACACAAGGCGGCAGAAATAGCATAAAAATCAACTAAACTAGCTCATCTTCCAAACAACCAACCTGGGGTGCTCTGCAGGAGCTGAGAATGGGACGGGAGATTCATAGCACCAATTAGAGTTAACACACAATTAATTCGCTCAATCCATTAAGTGGCGTGCAGGTAGTCATGCCTTGCCCCATAAGGCAGCGGAAATTTTAGCAAAATCAGCTAAACTAGCTCATCTTCCAAACAACCAGCCTAGTGTGATCCACAGGAGCTGAGAATGGGATGAGAGCTTCATAAAACTAACTAGAGTCACCACACAAAGAATCAGTTCAATCCAATATGTGGCCGGCAGGTAATCGTGCCTTGCAACACAAGGCGGCAGAAATAGCACAAAAATCAACTAAACTAGCTCATCTTCCAAACAACCAACCTAGGCTGCTCTGCAGGAGCTGAGAATGGGACGGGAGGTTCATAGCACCAATTAGAGTTAACACACAATTAATTCGCTCAATCCATTAAGTGGCGTGCAGGTAGTCATGCCTTGCCCCATAAGGCAGCGGAAATCGCAGCAAAATCAGCTAAACTAGCTCATCTTCTGCTTCAACCAACCTAGGGTGATCCGCAGCAGCTGAAAATGGGATGAAAGGTCCACAGTACTCCTTAGAGTCACCACACAAAGAATCAGATCGATCCAATAAACTCTAGCGCTGAATCATGCCTTGCCCCATAAGGCAGCGGAAATCGCGGCAAAATCAGCTAAACTAGCTCATCTTCCAAACAACCAACCTAGGGTGATCCGCAGGAGCTGAGAATGGGATGAGAGCTTTGTAGAACTAACTAGAGTCACCACACAAAGAATCAGCTCAATCCAATATGTGGCCGGCAGGTAATCGTGCCTTGCAACACAAGGCGGCGGAAATAGCATAAAAATCTACTAAACTAGCTCATCCTCCAAACAACCAACCTAGGCTGCTCTGCAGGAGCTGAGAACGGGACGGGAGGTTCATAGCACCAATTAGAGTTAACACACAATTAATTAGCTCAATCCATTAAGTGGCGTGCAGGTAGTCATGCCTTGCCCCATAAGGCAGCGGAAATTTCAGCAAAATCAGCTAAACTAGCTCATCTTCCAAACAACCAACCTAGGGTGATCCGCAGGAGCTGAGAATGGGATGAGAGCTTCATAAAACTAACTAGAGTCACCACACAAAGAATCAGCTCAATCCAATATGTGGCCGGCAGGTAATCATGCCTTGCAACACAAGGCGGCAGAAATAGCATAAAAATCAACTAAACTAGCTCATCTTCCAAACAACCAACCTGGGGTGCTCTGCAGGAGCTGAGAATGGGACGGGAGGTTCATAGCACCAACTAGAGTTAACACACAAATAATTAGCTCAATCCATTAAGTGGCGTGCAGGTAGTCATGCCTTGCCCCATAAGGCAGCGGAAATATCAGCAAAGTCAGCTAAACTAGCTCATCTTCCAAACAACCAACCTAGGGTGATCCGCAGGAGCTGAGAATGGGATGAGAGTTTCATAGAACTAACTAGAGTCACCACACAAAGAATCAGCTCAATCCAATTTGTGGCCGGCAGGTAATCGTGCCTTGCAACACAAGGTGGCGGAAATAGCACAAAAATCAACTAAACTAGCTCATCTTCCAAACAACCAACCTCGGGTGCTCTGCAGGAGCTGAGAATGGGACGGGAGGTTCATAGCACGAACTAGAGTTAACACACAAATAATTAGCTCAATCCATTAAGTGGCGTGCAGGTAGTCATGCCTTGCCCCATAAGGCAGCGGAAATATCAGCAAAGTCAGCTAAACTAGCTCATCTTCCAAACAACCAACCTAGGGTGATCCGCAGGAGTTGAGAATGGGATGAGAGCTTCATAGAAATAACTAGATTTACCACACAAAGAATCAGCTCAATCCAATATGTGGCCGGCAGGTAATCGTGCCTTGCAACACAAGGCGGCGGAAATAGCATAAAAATCAACTAAACTAGCTCATCTTCCAAACAAACATTCTAGATTGTTCGGCAGGAGCTGAGATTGAGATGGGAGGTTCAGAGAACAAACTATCTCCACCACACAAATAATATGCTCAATCCAAAATGCCCCTCCGCTAGCAATTGACGCATTTCCCCAAAGGGCTTCGCAGAACTTGTACAAAGCAGCCTTAGGCAGCACGTTTGTCGAACGACCAACCAAACGTGCTCCGGCGAGGCCCATTTTGGGATGGGAGGCTCTGGATAATGTTAGTAACATCCTCCTACGAGCTCAGCCCAATCCAAAATGTATATGCTATCAATCGACGCTTTTTCCCCACAGGCCTGCCCAGAACTTGTACATATCAGCCTTAGGCTAGCACGTTTGTCAAACGAACAACCAAAAGTGCTCTGGCGAGGCCCATATTGAGATGGGTGGCTCCTGTTACCAATAGGAACTTAAATACTTGGATGCTTAGAGAGTTTAAGCTTTATACTGAATCTAGTCAACAACAAGATTCCTCGCCACTAGAGCTTCCACAGTATCATTCAACTTGCTAGACTCTTTGTAGCATGTAAATGGATGAAAGGTTGCTCCTTGATGAGAATCACTGTTGGGACGTGATTGGCATATTAGGAACCTTGTCAATTACAATCAAAACTTGCAAGTATTCAACAGATAAAAAAGTGCACTGTTATGTTAGATCTTGTGCATGCAGATATGTCAGGTGTACTATCAAATTTGGATGGGTCCCGAACTGTCTAAGAGAACCCGTTGAAATGCTGCTAGTGGCCATTGTGCAGAGCCGAATCAGAATCAGAGCAGATTCTAGCTGCAATTTTTGGATCGCTGGGCACTGAGGTATGTCTGTTGGTCGTACCGAGGCATGTGACATCTGGTTGTCAGAATCTCCAGGTTTCCCAGGTTAACCAAAGGGTCATCTCCAGATGCGCCGATTGCCAATTGCAGGCTAAGTGACGGGAAGCGACGAGAAGTAGTTCTACCTTGATAGGGTCAGTGGACCGTTTCGAAATTCCTACCACTGCTCCTAGGGTCAGTTCGGAACTTTACTGTTCTGCACTGTACTGCCACACGTTCCAGCACCCACAAAGCTGCCCTGAAAACTACAGAGCTGCCCTGCCGCACAAACCACAAAGCTGCCACGCAAACCACAATGCTGCCATGTGGTGCTGGCCACTGTCGTCGTTTTGTACTGTATCAAACCAACATTCTCATCAACCGCCTCGAACCCCAGCCCACGGTCACGCCTAGCAGTTCCTCTGCCACCATCGTCTCTCACGACTCTCTGGTCCTGTGCTACCGTTCGCCAAGCAGTCACGACGCTGAAAGACCAACACCTTCACGAGGGCGTCTTTCCTTCGGCACCGCAAGACAGTTTTTCCCCCGCTTTCCCCAGCGACTTACCTCTGACATGGTCGAACCGCGACCCACGCGACTCTCCAATGCTAACATAATCGACCTCGCGCTGCCACGATATCCTGTTCCGTCCGTTTATCACGGCCTCTCAGAATGGCACGTATCATAGCGCCACGTAGTGCCTTACCCTCTGCGAACATAGCAGCTTCTGGGGCCTCCATAGTATCACCCACGTCCAGTTTCTTTCCGGGAGTCTAGCCGCGCCGGCTGATAGTACATACCAAATCGTTATAAGCGGGTCGCGTAGAAAGCACCCGTTCCCGAATCGGGCTGCTTCAAACTCTGAGTACCCGACCCGTCAAGTGACCGCGACCGGAACACGCTGTACGTTTTCGGTTCCTCCATGATGTCTCATTTCTGCATCTCCTGAATGTTTCCGAAGACATGTTTCGACACTAGTAGCACTTACCAATCCACAGTGCAAACTGATATACTTTGTTACGTTAGAGTTTCCCAGCGTTTCCCAATTTTCACTGACCCTGTCTGCATAATGTCGACTAAACTGCAGGTCTCAAAGTCTGGGAAGAAAAACTCTGCCAATGGTGTCTCGGCACGATCTCCCAGCAAGGTCAAGCAGACTACGAAGAAGAAGGGAACTGTCGGTCCGCCGAAATCCAGGTCATCTAGCGGTGAGGGCCCACCTGGGGGCGATATTCGCAAGTCCAACCGCCCTCGAAAGGCGAGAGTGTGGTACACAGAAGGTGCGGATGCTACCGAAGAAGACGCTGAACCTGTTACAGCTGCGCGGTACAAACGAGAGGGCGACGATTTGGACGAGGCAAAGGCCAACGGCAAGTCGGGAGACGAGGCCGAGGCTGAGGACGAGGCTGAGGCCGAGGCTGAGGATGAGGCTGAGGACGAGGCTGAGCATGAGGCTGAGCACGAGGCTCCACACGAGGCGGAGGAGGAGGCGGAAGATGAGGCCGACGAAGATGCGGAGGAAGGTGAGGAGGAAAAGGCGGAGGAAGAGGCAGAGGAAGAGGTGGAGGAAGAGGCGGAGGAAGAGGCGGAGGAAGAGGAAGTTGGGGAGGCGGAGGACGAAGAGGGTGGGGAGTACGGCAATGATTCGGAAGATGAGTCCGGAGACGAGCCGTCGGGCGAGGAGGGTGGAGAGTCGGACGATGAGCAGGGGGAGGAGGAGGCAGTGGAGAGGAATGAGAAAAACGGCACGGCGGAAGTGCCTGCCTGCGCGGATGCTCATAAGCCTGAGGTCACGAAAAAAACAAGCTTTGACGAGATGCTGGAAGAGCAGGATGACAGTGAAGGTGATGCCGTGGAGGATGAGGCTGTGGCAGAGGAACGAGCTTTGCTGCTTGGGAAGCTGAAGGCACTTGATGAGATCCAGGAACCCGTTGTCAGGTCGAAGCTCGCTGGAAAGGGTGCGAAAGCACAGTCGCGTTCAGGACCCTCTAAGGTTCCGGCTAAGCCACCTCCAGGGAGACATGCTGTCGCCATGGCTAAGGGAAAGGTGAAAGTGGTGGAGAAAGTGGTGGCAAAAGAGAGTAGCCCTGGTGGAAAGACGAAACGGGAGGAGTCCGCCTTGGTGGTTGGAGGTGCATAAAAAAAGCGGAACACCGGTGAAATTGCGGGCAAAACGAAGGCAACTCCAAAGGCAGCAGGCGCTAGGGCAAGAGGGGTAAAGTCTAAAGCGGGCGGTGGGGCTAAAGTGACCACTAAGAAGGGCAACACCAAAACCGATGGTGAGAACGTTGCATCATTATGGTGCATGTTTCAGTGAACTAGGGCTATTGCCCTTATGTGGCCTTTCTATTTGTGGCATGTTTGTTGATGTCCCAAGGCACTATCCCGTCCTTTCTCTGTAGTCCCATCCCTGTTGTCCCTATCCTTGCTGTACCCTACCCTCCCATCCTAGCAGTCCCATCCCTACCGTCAACTCTCGTCCTATCCCTGCCGTAAACCAATCAGCCCATCCCTTCCGTCTACCTTCCTCCCATCCCCACCGTCACCCATCTCCCATCCCTCCCGTCACCCATCTCCCATCCCTCCCGTCACCCATCTCCCATCCCTTCTGTCACGTTCCTCCTATCCTTTCTGTCACGTTCCTCCCAGCAGCACCCAAGGACTTCGGAGCTGCGCCACCAGTGAAGGTTCTCAGCCTAGCCACCAAGCGTTTCGATCTTGTACCCGCCAAGGAAACCCCGTTTGTGGCGGCATCCGGCGATCGCCGTCGGGAGCGTGGTGGTGTAACAAACGCGGACCTTGACCAATTCGAGCGATGCGTGATGGCGAGGTTTGCCGAAATGTTGTCGGCCATGAGTCGGGGTGCTGGCCAATCCCTCCCAATCGGAGCGCCTGCATCAACACCCCCGCATTCTGGCCCGAGCACCAGCTCGTCGGAAGGCCTTCCTTCTGGCAATAGTCCCCTGGCAAACCACCGCGAAATCGTCTACAAAGCCGTAGTCGACTTCAAGGTGCGTTGCCTGTGATACACTGCGTATGCGCTTCAAAACTCCTACTCGACCGGTCTGCACCCTCACCCCTCGATCCTAAACCCCAATTGCTTCCCCAACCAGAACTAGGGAGTTGAAGCTTTTCCTAAACACTGACTCACGCTGTGCCAGTCCATCCCTCCTACCCTCAACCCTAAACCCCACTTGCTTCCTGTCCAGGTCTAAGGGAGTGAGGCAATACCTAAACCCTGACTCCCTTCTGCCTGCCTGCCCCTCTCCCTTCAACCCGAAACCCCACTAGCTTCCCTGTCCAGGTCTAAGGGGGTGAGGCCATACCTAAACCTTGACTCCCCTCTGCCTGCCTGCCCCTCTCCCTTCAACCTTAAACCCACCTGCTTCCCCATTCAGGTATAGGGGGTTGAGGCTTTACCTAACCATGACTTCTGCTTTGACTGTCTGCACCCACTACCATCAACCCTAAACCCCACTTGCTTCCCTGTCCAGGTCTAAGGGAGTGAGGCAATACCTAAACCCTGACTCCCTTCTGCCTGCCTGCCCCTCTCCCTTCATCCCAAAACCCCACTTGCTTCCCTGTCCAGGTCTAAGGGGGTGAGGCAATACCTAAACCTTGACTCCCCTCTGCCTGCCTGCCCCTCTCCCTTCAACCTTAAACCCACCTTCTTCCCCATTCAGGTATAGGGGGTTGAGGCTTTACCTAACCATGACTTCTGCTTTGACTGTCTGCACCCACTACCATCAACCCTAAACCCCACTTGCTTCCCTGTCCAGGTCTAAGGGAGTGAGGCAATACCTAAACCCTGACTCCCTTCTGCCTGCCTGCCCCTCTCCCTTCATCCCGAAACCCCACTTGCTTCCCTGTCCAGGTCTAAGGGGGTGAGGCAATACCTAAACCTTGACTCCCCTCTGCCTGCCTGCCCCTCTCCCTTCAACCTTAAACCCACCTGCTTCCCCATTCATGTATAGGGGGTTGAGGCTTTACCTAACCATGACTTCTGCTTTGACTGTCTGCACCCACTACCATCAACCCTAAACCCCACTTGCTTCCCTGTCCAGGTCTCAGGGTGTGAGGCAATACCTAAACCCTGACTCCCTTTTGCCTGCCTGCCCCTCTCCCTTCATCCCGAAACCCCACTTGCTTCCCTGTCCAGGTCTAAGGGGGTGAGGCAATACCTAAACCTTGACTCCCCTCTGCCTGCCTGCCCCTCTCCCTTTAACCTTAAACCCCACCTGCTTTCCCATCCAGGTATAAGGAGTTGAGGCTTTACCTTACCATGACTTCTGCTTTGACTGTCTGCACCCACTACCATCAACCCTAAACCCCACATGCTTCCCCATCCAGGTCTCAGGGAGTGAGGCAAAACCTAAACCCTGACTCCCTTCTGCCTGCCTGCCCCTCTCCCTTCAACCCTAAACCCCGCTTGCTTCACCATCAAGGTCTATTGAGGTGACGATTTATCTGAACCTTGACTCCCCTCTGCCTGCCTGCCCCTCTCCCTTAACCTTAAACCCCACCTCCTTCTCCATCCAGGTATAGGGAGTTGAGGCTTTACCTAACCATGACTTCTGCTTTGACTGCCTGCACCCACTACCATCAACCCTAAACCCCACTTGCTTCCCCATCCAAGTCTCAGGGAGTGAGGCAATACCTAAACCCTGACTCCCTTCTGCCTGCCTGCCCCTCTCCTTTCAACCCTAAACCCCGCTTGCTTCACCATCTAGGAGCAAGTGAGGTGACGATTTACCTGAACCTTGACTCCCCTCTGCCTGCCTGCCCCTCTCCCTTTAACCATAAACCCCACCTGCTTCCCCATCCAGGTATAGGGAGTTGATGCTTTACCTAACCATGACTTCTGCTTTGACTGTCTGCACCCACTACCATCAACCCTAAACCCCACTTGCTTCCCCATCCAGGTCTCAGGGTGTGAGGCAATACCTAAACCCTGTCTCCCTTCTGCGTGCGTGCCCCTCTCCTTTCAACCCTAAACCTCGCTTGCTTCACCATCCAAGAGCAAGTGAGGTGACGATTTACCTGAACCTTGACTCCCCTCTGCCTGCCTGCCCCTCTCCCTTTAACCTTAAACCCCACCTGCTTCCCCATCCAGGTATAGGGAGTTGATGCTTTACCTAACCATGACTTCTGCTTTGACTGTCTGCACCCACTACCATCAACCCTAAACCCCACTTGCTTCCCCATCCAGGTCTCAGGGAGTGAGGCAATACCTAAACCCTGACTCCCTTCTGCCTGCCTGCCCCTCTCCCTTCAACCCTAAACCTCGCTTGCTTCACCATCCAGGTCTATTGAGGTGACGATTTACGTGAACCTTGACTCCACTCTGCCTGCCTGCCCCTCTCCCTTTAACCTTAAACCCCACCTGCTTCCCCATCCAGGTATAGGGAGTTGAGGCTTTACCTAACCATGACTTCTGCTTTGACTGCCTGCACCCACTACCATCAACCCTAAACCATGACTTATGCTTTGTCAATCTGCCCCCTCTCTCCTCAACCCTAAACCTCTCTTGCTTACCCAGCCACGAACTGGGAGATGGAGCGTCTAAACCTTGACTCATTCTCCAACAGTCTGTCCTTTCTACCCTCAACTCTAAACCCCACTTGCTCCCCCATCCAAAACTAGGGAGCTGAAGCTTCCCCTAAACCTAGACGCATGCTCCAACTATCTGCCCACCTTACCCTTAACACTAAACCCCACTTGCAAACCCTTACCTCTTGTTTGCATATCTGCCACCCATCCCCCTCCACTCTGCAGGAACTTGCTAGGCGTGTAGCAACGCATCTTTGCTTCAACATTGAAGCCTCAATGATTCAGTTCTACCCATCTGCGGAGGAGGCCTTAGATCATGGGTTTAGCGAGTTTGTGTCGCCGCAGGTTCTTGCCTCGTTGCGTGTGCTCTTTCAGCACAATGATGCCAGCACTAGAGGGGTTTTTTTTTACCAGCTGTCTTCAACTAGGACTACTATCAACGGCTGGATGAGAAAGGTGGCACTCACGGCGTTGGGTCGACAGGCGAACAGGTGTTACATCAAGAGGTTACCAGCAGATCTACTTGCACCACTCGGGTTCTACACGGATGAGGAACTCATTGAGCGTTACAAGGATGGTGAGTTTGTATGCAGCCTTTCATCCAATAGTTGCTGCTATGTGTGTTGCAATCATATGTATATGTATGATTTCGTTCCTCCTTTCCACTTCCGGTTGCCCCCTATTCACCATAGAGTCAGCAAATTCATCCCTTTGTTTCCTATCACCACACAATCCCATTACAGGGGAGAGGGGACTGGCTTGGCACCGTGAGCTCCTCATCCCGTTCGGCAGCCTCATCTTCTCGGTGTCCATCAAGTTGGCTTTGGCGCGCCGTGGGGTCAATACCGAGAAGATTAAGACCCGCCAGCTGGGCTGGATCTTATATGCAGTGAGTTTATGGACATGACCCCATGTTTGATGCCACGTATGCGGTGAGCCATCTAGTGTTTTCATGTGTTAACCCTTGTCTGTTCATCTATTCCACTAAATCCCCACCTCATCTCCACCATATTCCTACAGTTCGAGTGGCCAATCCTTAACAATGCGCCCGATGGGAAGTTGAGCGGCAAGTGGGAGTACAATCGGATCCAGTACGAGGAGATGTGCACCCGTGTGAAGCAGGAGGTCGAGATCGCTGTCATGGACCATGGTGTCCCATACGCCAGCAACACGAACACATTCAACTTCCCCAACGGCGTCTACATCGACGCGTCTGACATGGAGACCCTTGTCAGCAGGGTGCAGGTAAGTCATCCATAGGACCAAACCAAAACCTTGCTGAGATGGCTCCAACACAATGCTCACGTGGCACCAACGCCGTGCTCTGGCACCAGCTTTGTTGCATCACTCACCATCTCTTCATGCCCCTTCCCCTTCCTCCCATCTCTTCCGTCCCCTTCCCCTTCCTCCCATCTCTTCCGTCCCCTTCCTCCCGTCTCTACTGTCCCCTTACTTCCATGCCCCATGCCTCTTTGTGCAGGCAGCACGACCTGCACCAGCCCGGGTTGTCACCCCCAACCCGTGATCACAGAGATCTACAGCAGCACTAGGGGGACATGTGCGGAGGGGCTTAGTAGTGGCAGTAGCAATCTGCAGCAGCAGCAGCAGGGGGATCGGTGCGGAGGGGCTTCGCAGTGGCAGTAGCAATCTGCAACATCAGCAGGGGGACAGGTGCAGAGGGGCTAAGCAGAGGAAGTAGCAATCTTCAGCAGGAGCAGGGGGAACAGTGCAGAGGGGCATTTCAGTGGCTGTAGAAATCTGCAGGAGCAGGAGGACAAAAAACAAGGGGCATATCAGTGGATGCAGCAATGTGGAACAGCAGCAGAGGGACAAGTGCAAAAGGGCGCATCAGTGGAAGTAGCAATCAGCAGGAACAGCAACGGGACGGGAAAACGAGGGGCATAGCAGTGGATGCAGCAATCTGAGACAGCAGCAGGGGGACACGTGCGGAAGGGCACATTAGTGGCACCAGCAATTTGCAGGAACAGCAGGATGACAGGAAAACGAGGGGCATAGCAAAGGCAGTAGCAATCTGCAGGTGCAGAGGGGCGTAGCAGCGGCAGTAGCAACCTGCAGGAGCAGCAGGGAGACAGGTGCAGAGGGGCGTAGCAGCGGCATGAGCAACCTGCAGGAGCAGCAAGGAGACAGGTGCAGAGGGGCGTAGCAGCGGCATTAGCAACCTGCAGGAGCAGCAAGGAGACAGGTGCAGAGGGGCGTAGCAGCGGCATTAGCAACCTGCAGGAGCAGCAAGGAGACAGGTGCAGAGGGGCGTAGCAGCAGCATTAGCAACCTGCAGGAGCAACAGGGAGACAGGTGCAGAGGGGCGTAGCAGCGGCATTAGCAACCTGCACGAGCAGCAAGGAGACAGGTGCAGATGGGCGTAGCAGCAGCATTAGCAACCTGCATGAGCAGCAGCGAGACAGGTGCAGAGGGGAGTAGCAGCGGCATTAGACACCTGCAGGAGCAGCAGGGAGACGGGTGCAGAGGGGCGTAGCAGTGGCAGTAGCAACTAGTAGCAGCAGCAGGGGGGACAGGTGCGGAGCAGCAGGGCCAGCAGGGGGACAGGTGCGGAGGAGCATAGCAGTGGCAGTAGCAACCAGTAGCAGCAACAGGGAGACAGGTGCGGAGGAGCATAGCAGTGGCAGTAGCAACCAGTAGCAGCAACAGGGAGACAGGTGCGGAGGAGCATAGCAGTGGCAGTAGCAACCAGTAGCAGCAACGGGGAGACAGGTGTGGAGGAGCATAGCAGTGGCAGTAGCAGCCAGCAGTAGCTTTAGCAGAAGGATTTAGTAACCTTTAATCAGTGTAGTGTACAAGCAGTACAGTTGTAATATATTGTTTTGCTGTATCTACAGGTACACTATGCTGTATTTTGATTTTGCAATAAAAAAAATATTTCAAACAGAAATTTCAAGGAAACGACAGTTTGGTATAGGGCCAACCCAAGACACAGGAGACTCTAGATTGGGACCATACTTGGTTCAACTTGGGATAAAGTTGAGAGTAGGCTTGGAGAAAAAATGGTCATCAGAATCACCTAAACTTTGGCCAAACATAGCCCAAAGTTTATCTTAGCAGCTATACCAATATTGTACCAAACAATGAGACCATTACTGGTCCAATTTTGGATGGAAACATCAAATTGGAGCAATAATTGACCAATATAATAGGGGGGATTTTGTGATGAAGCTAAGAAAACTAGTTACTGTCCGCTGACTGACGTTAGGTTCAAAACGGAATGCAGCAAAGAACTTACTATCCCTCTCCAGATTTCATCCCCTTGCCAGTCGATATGAAATTTCACGCAGATGGGGAATGAATCCGTTCTCTTGACACGACGCAGCGTCTGCAGTGACGCTAATCGTGACCTCAAGCCCCGTCTGTAGCTCGAGGTTACTCAGCTGGATTCACGGGATGTGCAACTCTATGCGAATTTGATGATGCCGAACAAATTGACATAGAGCGACGCGACCTGCATGTGCGACTTCGTTACAGCTAGATCCGTAAGCTTTCTCATACCTCCATTTCCCTCCTCACGGCAAGTAGTAAGTCTCCATCGATCGACACTAACCTAGCAAGGCCTGGCACCTGACCGCCATGCAAGCCCCGGGCAGAAAGCTTCCACCGGCTCCGCGTCCTGGTGGGTTCGAAACCCACCAGGAGAGGGACCTGGTGGGTTTGCGCCCACCAGGGCCCGTAGGAACTCTCATGTGCTTCCTTTCCTCCCCCCACTGCCTGTTTTTTCCTGCATCGAACGAATCACTCACTCACACACTGCCTGCATCTACTGTATTGGCGCCATCCGCCATAGCTCCGCCATGCATTCAACGATCCACCTTCCTTTCCGTCGGCTTCCTTCCTCCCACCCTGCAAATTCCTCGATTCCCTCCCACCTTCCTTTCCCGTTCAGTCAGGTTTGCTGCTGCACGTTGCTGCTGCTGTGGCTGTTTCTGTTCGCAACCCTTGTCCGTCCTGCCTGCATCTACTGTATTGGCGCCATCCGCCATAGCTCCGCCATGCATTCAACGATCCACCTTCCTTTCCATCGGCTTCCTTCCTCCCACCCTGCAAATTCCTCGATTCCCTCCCACCTTCCTTTCCCGTTCAGTCAGGTTTGCTGCTGCACGTTGCTGCTGCTGTGGCTGCTTCTGTTTGCAACCCTTGTCCGTCCTGCCTGTTCACAAGAACATTTGCATCCATGCGTGCTTGCTTTTCTGCTGAAACAAGACGTAGGCGAGGGACAAGTCTCGTCTCGACTCTCGACCTCGAACCGAACGCAAATTTCACAGTTTTGTGTCCATCAATCATGAGTCGCGATCACACGTAATTTCCCGTGTTACACATCAGATCAGCCCAATGCGCAGTTCACACCGGCACTTCACTCGTGTAAGGATTTACAGAATCCTTACTGGGGCACTCGTTAGCGAGGCCATCCCGAGGGTCACGCGACGAACCTGTCCTTCCTATTTCGTCGCACCAAACCACTCCCGAGTCGCCTCCGCACCAATCGCAACCATCACCGAGCCATCCTCGCCCAACCTCTCCGCCTAGCTAGGACTTCCCCTATTTAGTCGTGCTTTCCTCATTGTATCGTCATTCAATAATTCAGTAATCAGTTCATTCTCGTTATTCGATATTCTGCGCACTCTGCAAGTTCATTCATAACACCTGGTATCAGAGCTACTTTCCTAGCTCACCCCACTTTTTAGAGTGTAATACCCTTCGGGGGGGGGGACGAGGAAGGATGCCTTGGGGTCCAGGAGTTGCGTAGGCCGGCCAGGAGAACTAGCTAGTTGCTCCTCGCGGCGATGTTTTTACGGGCACTCCTTCGGCACCGCCAGATCCTTGCCTCGAACGGTCGCGATCGACCGTGGCCTCCCTCCCCCCGGGCAACGGACAGCTGTAGCTGTTGCGACGTTAAACGTGAGTCATTTCCGCTGCGATTTACCGACGATTTCGGAAGTTTGTGTGGCAGCTGGCGTCAGCGGACGTGGCGTCACTGTGGGCGACACTTTCGGATCTGCTGTGAAGAAAAGGACGGCTGGGGAACTCGCCAGGCGCAAATGAAGCTTGCGTCTGAAAAAGCTGGTGACGAGGAGAGACGCCACGAGGACTGCCCGATTTATGCGGGAGTCAACTGCCGTCCCGCCCGACGTGTTAAGTGCAGCGGCCTTTACTGCATTGGCGGGCGCGTCATCAACGTTTTCGGCAAAAGTGCACGTGGACAGACGGGATTTTCGGACCCGCCGACACTTACGGGCTGCAACGAAAAGCGGAGTGGCCATATCGCACTTAGCAGAAGTGGGGCGCAGGCGACGAGGGAAACCGGGGTCGGTAACCTCGGAAAACGACTCGTGCGACGCTGCGTGCCTGGAGTTGTTGCAAGCTGGCCGGCAGTTTCGAGAGCGGTTTCTCCTACCAGAGAAGTCATTTTCGGGGACAGCTGCAAGCGACCCACGATTAAACGGCGTTCAACGTACTGCCCCGACATTTACGGAGGAGTCGGTACAGGCCGCCGGGACACACGGGAAGAAACTGCCCGACGGCTAAACGGGGGTCGAGAAACGGCGTGAAGGGCAGGTTAAAAGCCGGTGTGAACGGCCTGTGACCTTCCGTCGCCCGAACCTCACCATCCCCACCAAGTTTTAGTTCTGACTCATGCAGTCAACTTACTTGGCCGAATAACGGGGGTGAACACGGGCCTACCCTGCGCTGGTTAAAGGCACCTGGGTTGGTGCTTGTTCGACAGCTGTACAGAAAAAAAACAAAAAAAAACAGGGGAGTTGCGGCACTGTTCTACTCCGACAAAAGCGGGCTGGGTGAAACAGCACGCGAAAAAATCGGGGCGCCGCATGACAACAATGGTGCACTTCGTGTCAAACATTATATATGTTATACTTGTGTAGGCTACAGTGGGTTAGCCCATAGGGGGTACACAATTCTAGGGTTTACTACTTGTACTCTTTTCACTTCTAGTTGATCCATTCCTGTTCGTTTATTCTCACATGGTATAGAGCGGGTCCTTCTACAGACCGTTTTTTTTTGGGCCCACCGAAGCGCCCCCCGAGGCGCGATCTTTTTTTTTAGCGACCCCTCGGGTCGCCATTTCCCCTGCGGCCCCGCCGCCTTCACTGACGCGGCCCCGCCGCCCTCTCTGTCGCGGCCCCGCCACCTGCTCTCACGCGGCCCCGCCCCGGCTCCTTCGCGGCCCCGCCGCCTGCTCTCGCGCGGCCCCGCCCCGGCTTCTACGCGGCCCCGCGCCGGCTTTCACGCGGCCCCGCCGACGGCTCTGTCGCGGCCCCGCCCAGGCCCTTACGCGGCCCCGCCGCCTGCCCCCGTCGCGGCCCGGTCACCTCCTGACGGCCCCGCCGTCCCTTCGTGACGGCCCCGCCGTCCCTTCCTGACGGCCCCGCCGTCCCCTCCTGACGGCTCCTGCCGTCCCCTTCTACCGGCCCCCTCAGGTCGCCTCGACAGGCGACGGGAGAGGCCTGCAGAGGGGTGGCAGGTGTGTGGCCTCCCCTGCTT